ACTGATATTTGATGTAAATAAATTGAGAGTAGAAGAGTCCCTTATACAAATACCTATGTCATTCCACATTTTGTCGTTGATGGGGTAAAACAGTTCCACATTCGAAGGAGATACAATGAAGATTTTTTTCTGGAAACCATGTTAAAATTGACATATTTATGTTAACATTTCATTTCACATCGGAAACAATCAACGATTTAATTGTTTCTTATTTTAACTGTTTCGTTCGAAACAAAATAGAAAAATACCATGTGATCTCCCTTCTATTAAAAAAGAAAAATACCACATCTCGACAGGAGCATTCGATCCAAGAACTGTTGGAGCAAAGAGCAGGGGTCTTACCACTGTGCTGTTGCTACATTAGTGGTTCCATATACACTAAGTGTAGAGTTTGAATTGTCGATGTTTCTTCCAGAAAAGTAAACCGAACCTTGTATATTTGTCTACACTTAGTATTTAAGTTAATAGAATTTACACCTGAAATTTAACACAAGAGACAGTCGTCTAGTGTCTGCGATCACTTTGAATTTGCATAAGTCACCTCCTAGGCTTTGAAATATTAGTCCCTTGATATCACTGACGAGTGCTATAATGACGGAACAGCTGTATGATACAGTTTAATTCGTTATTTGACTCTACTGTATCTAACTCTTAATTTTTATTATGGGTGTTTTCACTTTTGTGCCTTTTGTATAATATTCACAGAAACCTTCTTGGTAAAGGCTACAAATCGACATACATATATAATTTGGAAGGTAAAAAAAATAAATAAACAAAAAAAGTCACTGTTTTGAAGGTTAACTATCAACAACTGTTGGTAAAACCAGACATGTTACACCCGTGTAAATGTATTCATGGATATTGAAATACATGTATGTTCCAATCAGCTGGTAACTAAAAACTAACCTTTGTAGTCATAGTGTATTACTTTTATAACCTGTTGTTCCTGATCAAGTTTAGACCGAAAATATCGAGAAAATCACATTATATTTAGATGTTTTCAACTGTTGAAGTCTTGCTTTTGAAGCAAGGAAACGCCCACCATCCTCCCTTTGACGTATTTCTTATACGTGTTTCATGAAGTCGTCTGTGTGGGTGTACACTCATTTGCATACAAGGTGCTGTTTCTCTTACAATCCAATGCAACGAATAAAACCAACCTATAGAGAGGTATTCATGTTTACAATTTACCAACTACGCAGCAATACTTTCACGAAAAAGGCTTAAATATGGTGAGATTTTAAAACTATTGTGTTCTGGTGTAGCGGATCTGTTTTACATACGTTCGATAAACGTTGCCTATACCGTGATACATAATGATAGCATGTAAAAATAATGAAATAAAATCAGTTAAACGGAGGTGAAGACCGAAAGTTTATTTTCACAATTTACAAAATGTAATGCCCGACATTACTTCAATGTCTGATGTTCGTTGGTATTCGTAAATAAGTGTATTTTGAAGTGAATAGATTTTAAACACCGCGGTTAAGAGTTTTCCTGTCGTATATATAGAATATAAAAGCGAAATCATAACACGTCTTCAAACAGAAGTCAAGTGTGATTTTCCTGGCAAGAGGAGAGAGAGAGAGAGCGCCCGAAAATAGTTCTCCTAAGAGACGTTTCTAAAAGGCACTGGTATGTCTGTCACAGTCTGCTGAGTTTGTATACACTCTTGGGGATCGATGTAGACACATGTTGACCGTGTCGTTATTTTATGGTATTTATCAATAAATTTCCGTTATTTTCTGAGTAAGAAGTTAAACTATGTGAGATGAGCTATTCCAACAGTGTCCGTCTTTTAATACGTTTATTAAAATTTAATTAACTGCTGCAAATTGCATACTGTGGATATTCTGTATGATATAGGGCCCCTAATAGGAATGTCTGGGTTATGTCATTCAGATAAGTTTATATAGACATATTTATATAACCTGGAAAAATTGGCGATCATGACAGGTATTTGTTTTCGTCTAACAGATGTAGATTTCTTGGACAGTGGAAGAAAGTCAGTATAGAGCCAGTTTTGATTTAAACAAATGTCAATGCATATAAATATTTACAAAATAAATCGGACAAAAGTTTTCTCAACTACCACAATACTTTGCTTTAAACAATCATCAATACAAGCAATAAATCGATAGGGGCAATTTACGTAATTTATTGATAAATGATGTCATATGTGGAGAGAGAGAGAGAGAGAGAGAGAGAGAGAGAGAGAGAGAGAGAGAGAGAGAGAGAGAGAGAGAGAGAGAGAGAGAGAGAGAGAGAGGAGGAGAGAGAGAGAGAGAGAGAGAGATGATGTATTAACCTGTTATAATCACAAAATATACAAAATAGCCAGTTCGCACTACCTCAGAATTAATTTCAGAATTATAAAACAAATGTATTAACAATTCTTTCTTTAAATCTCTAAAACTGACAAGCTGAAGTCATACAAACTATTCTATACCTGCTTAATTATACCAAAAAATGTATTTCATAACAGTAACAACCCTTTTCTTACCTACACATGTATTCATAGATGTACATGCATGTATAATTGAATATAGCCGAATCACGATCCTTCGATGGGGGTTTTCCAACCTCTTAAGACAGTTTAAGCTCAAGTTTCTTTAAAGAATGACTTATAGTGTTTAAAATCGGCTGTTGTATCTTTACTATTTGTTCTCTATATTTTTTATACTCAATAAATTCTCAAATGTCAACATCTCGATATTAGATGCTTATGTCACAGTTTATTACTGTTCGGTACTTCCCGGTCATTATCCGACAATTTCCGCCATTTAGCAACAAATGTTATGTTAACCTACCTCAAACCAACTCAATAAATATATGATATTTCACTATCAGTTAAGGCCATAGAAAAAAAAAACAAAAAAACGGATCATATTAAAATGTCAACCTTCTAAACAATTGTTATGGTCAGTCAAAGTGTGTACAACGTGACCAGTCACCCAGTTTAAGTATGTGGCTGAATTCATAACCTTCATTATTACTTAGTGGAATTGTTCTGTCTCTTATTTCACTTAGAACTGTGGAGTAGTGTAACTATGTTATTTCCTGTGAAATGTGATAAAAATACACATGGATATTGCACACTTTTAAGGTTAATACTGTATCCCAAAAATGTCATGCGGCATATGCACGAGAATATATCATTCTTGGAAGTTCATGGTCAGACAAATGAAATATGACTTCTGTACGATTTAAAGCCAGAAAAAGTCTAGACATTTCCATTCTTCTATTATTATTTTATCATGCCATGAGACTAGAAGTCTTTTAAAAGCTTGAAACTTTTGAGTTTTTGTAAATAATGTGAAATGAGTTTTGATGAAAAAATAAACAACACATTTTCGTGTCTAAAAATGGCTATAAAATTGAAAAACAAATCACCTAAAAAGCAAAACGTTTAGCTACAACATAATTCCGAAAGCTCAGTAACGATTGTATCAACCAAATGGGAGGGTATTGGTAGTGTACTTTATATGGACAAAAAAGTTTATAAAAATCTTTATACGATTTTGATGCAAGAAATATTAAGTAAAAAATATTGGCATTTCGGAAAAATACCGATCAAAAGTTAAATATTCATTTAATTTCTATAACACCACTTTTAGAACTTTCATAATTATATCTGTCAAATTTTTCCCATGAGGGGGTCCGACCGAGCCTACAATGCAATATGCAATATTCATGCAATATAAAAGCAACAACCTTACTAGATGGAAATGTGGATGTTAGCCGTTAATTCAATATCAGCGTTTCCTGTTCTATCATTTTTTATTTTCTTTTTAATTTTTTTCAATGTTTGAACAGAAGTGAAAATCTTACAAACTGCCCTTTCAGATGTAATTGTACAAGATGCTTGACTTGAACATTCGTCTTTTGTCTTGCATCACAAATCTTTGGCAGATTGCACTTGCATTGATGGTTCGTGCATGAAGTAAGTGCATGCGGGCTAGCGATGACAATCTATCCTCATTCATTGTACTGCGCATATAGCCTTTAATGCGGCGAAGCCCAGAAAATGAGCGTTCGGCCTCACAAGAGGTGACAGGTAAGGTGCAACCAATGTGAAGAAGTGTTTTGATGTCTGGAAAGATGTCCCCGTCTGCAATTTTGTAGGTACCTAAAAGATTGCCCGCTGTGATGCCCTTTTCATCGAGTTTCCCACAAGCCCTCTTCCACTCCAACAAATACCCTTGTAGAACATGGCAAACCTGAGTCACAAAAGAAAAATTCAGAGGAAAGTTTTTGTATTTCAGAATCTGACAGGGTCAACATTTACTTAGGAACCAAACAACCAAATGCATATGCAACACTGTCATCTTTGTGAAATCTGTTATTGAGCTCAGTTGATAAATGATCCAGAAATGGAACAGCTACCGTGGCTTTGTAATATTGCCGTGGACAGGAACTACCATTATTTGTTCTATGTGTTTGTCTACCACATGTTCTCGAGATCTTCTCTTCTATGTCAAGCTCGTTTGCGATTCGTTTGCAATCTTCATACCACGTTTCATACTCAACATCCACTCCTTCTCTCATCTCTTTCACCCTCTCAATACGATCAGTAATCAGTGTACGGGCTTCATACACGTCCAAATCACGTTTCTGAAGTTTTGATGTAAGGGGTTTGACTGTCTGCAGAACAACCCTGATGCAGAAGAACGTAACCAAAAACTGGTACGACATCGGAGTAGCCAGCAATCCCTGTGTTGTAATTTTAGTTTGAGCATCCCACGACCACTCATCTTGAGTGTTTTCCTCAAGCTCTGCGTTTACGATGGACCGGAGACATTCAACGATGGCAGTATACATGCTATAGAATATATCATAGTAGGTATGACGTTCTACCCATCTTGTTTTACACAAACCCAACAATTTTTTACGCTTTGATTCAGGGCCATGATGTTGAAGGTCATGTTTAAAGAAGCGTTGCCTTTTGGGCGAGACATCGCAGAAAACGAATGTGGCATTTACCCCATCTTTTATATTTCTCACAAGAGGTAATCTATGTTCAAGTTCAGAACGTGACTGATGCAGTGTGTGTAAAGGGCATGTTGATTGATAGAGTTTATTCGATCTCGGCAACCTACTTTTTCTGACGATATAGCTACTGCCTCGTCGTACGCCTGGCCCCTCTTTTTGTCAACTGGAATATTGTTCTCTGTTAAAACCTCTACTATTTTAATTGCAGTTGTTTTCCCAGTAGTACGTTTCATATGGAGAAAATCAAAGAATTCTTCTCGAATACAAAGCTCAGTTTGACTTTCGTCTAGAAATCGCACACACAAAGGCAGAACCTCTTGGTTTGAAAACGTACCCGTCACTTCATCAGCTATGATAGAGTAAAGCCCTCTCCCCTTCAGGCCTTTTAATATTTGATTTCTGATGTACGACCTAATGATGTTTATGACTTCGTTCTGTACGGTCTTGCTGGTATAGATTGTATTTTTCTGTCCATTTTCTAGATGATTTGCCAGCTCTTTGTCATGACTAGCTAGTAAATTTAGAATAGCCGAGAAATTGCCCTTCTTGGATGATGACTTCATGATCTCATACTTCAAAGACTGGAGGATATTATTGGGGACATTGGCCTGCTCAGAGATTGAGCTTTCAAAATTGTATTTAAAATATGTCGGCTTACTTGACATTGCGGTGAATGTTTCATGGCTGGTGTATTTTGAAAAGTTTGTAACCAGCTCATGCATACATCGTACCCGACACTCAACGTAATTGTTCTCTGTACCAAAGACCCAAACTAACTATAAAAACAGTTACCGTCTCCGACAACGTTCACAGGGAAAAGGTGTTTTGCTTGATTCCTGTGTTTTGATACTCCATCATTTGCGGAGGAGATTTTATCTCATGTTACAAGTGTCGTTGGTACGATGTTTTCACGTATAAAGGTGCCTCTCATGAGAGCCTGTAACTTAAGTACACCCCAGCCATTTCTGGCTGCATTTGCAAAGTCATTTCGTAACGACTCCCACTTGGACGGCACACTTCGTGGGTCCATTTTTGCAGCCCTTACCCAAATCAAGAATGGACTTTTCAGCTTACAGTATATATATATATCTAAGTTCAACTCTAATCTGGATCAGAATGGTTTGTATAACAGAAAATAGATTTTATTAGATCTTATTTATTGGCACAGGCCTGTATGAATGTGTGCTTGCTGCATGTTGGTGTAAATGCAAAAATGCGATTTGGTAAGTATCGGCAAATGTGCAGAAGCTTTCTCAAAGCTATAAATGAAACTGATGTCATTGTTGTACTTTTCATTTCCGCCTAAACTCTCAGGTTAAAAAGATGACGTCATTGTTATGTAGTTGAATCAGAGTCAAGTAATCAATTATGACAGCTACTATGACATCACGATTTCGTGGATCATAACGTCATCTTTGTTTTTGAATTGTTCAAATATTACCTCACATAACTGAACCGCGCATGGTTATTACTTAGTATTTATGCTAATAACATTAATATTTGAAGTTCAACAACCTGATTTCAATGTACCTTTTCAAATGGTCAACCACCCCTCCATCACATCATCGTACAATGTACCTGTTATAATAACGTTCAAATTGATATTAGTTCTCATTGTATCAGTTAACCCCCTCCCCCTCACATACAATAGTACTATGTACCTGTTATAAGTACGTACAAATTTATACCAGTTCTCATTGTATCAGTCAACCCCCTCCCCCCTCTCCCTCACATACAATAGTACAATGTACCTGTTATAATAACGTACAAATTGATACCAGTTCTCATTGTATCAGTCAACCCCCTCCCTCCTCTCCCTCACATACAATAGTACAATGTACCCTGTTATAATAACGTACAAATTGATACCAGTTCTCATTGTATAAGTCAACCCCCTCCCCCCTCTCCCTCACATACAATAGTACAATGTACCTGTTATAATAACGTACAAATTGATATTAGTTCTCATTGTATCAGTCAACCCCCTCCCCCCTCTCCCTCACATACAATAGTACAATGTACCTGTTATAATAACGTACAAATTTATACCAGTTCTCATTGTATCAGTCAACCCCCTCCCCCCTCTCCCTCACATACAATAGTACAATGTACCTGTTATAATAACGTACAAATTGATACCAGTTCTCATTGTATCAGTCAACCCCCTCCCCCCTCTCCCTCACATACAATAGTACAATGTACCTGTTATAATAACGTACAAATTGATATTAGTTCTCATTGTATCAGTCAACCCCCTCCCCCCTCTCCCTCACATACAATAGTAACATGTACCTGTTATAATAACGTACAAATTTATACCAGTTCTCATTGTATCAGTCAACCCCCTCCCCCCTCTCCCTCACATACAATAGTACAATGTACCTGTTATAATAACGTACAAATTGATACCAGTTCTCATTGTATCAGTCAACCCCCTCCCTCCTCTCCCTCACATACAATAGTACAATGTACCTGTTATAATAACGTACAAATTGATACCAGTTCACATTGTATGTACCCCCTTCCCCTCCTCTCCCTGTTATAATAACGTACAAATTTATACCAGTTCTCATTGTATCAGTCAACCCCCTCCCCCCCTCCCTCACATACAATAGTAACAATGTACCTGTTATAATAACGTACAAATTGATACCAGTTCTCATTGTATAAGTCAACCCCCTCCCCCTCTCCCTCACATACAATAGTACAATGTACCTGTTATAATTACAAATTGATACCAGTCTCTCATAATACCAGTTCTCATTGTATAGTCAACCCCCCCCTCACATACAATAGTAACATGTACCTGTTATAATACGTACAAATTTATACCAGTTCTCATTGTATCAGTCAACCCCCTCCCTCCTCTCCCTCACATACAATAGTACAATGTACCTGTTATAATAACGTACAAATTGATATTAGTTCTCATTGTATCAGTCAACCCCCTCCCCCCTCTCCCTCACATACAATAGTACAATGTACCTGTTATAATAACGTA